ACTTTGGGGCCTATGGGTAAACCTTATGTAATGCCTGAACGCTAAAAGCGGGAGTGCGGTGCTTGGGCTGCTTCCTCTCTTTTAAAGGATCCTATGTGCTGTTATGGGGGGGACTTCCCTGGATCATAATAGTAATTCCGAATAGAGAAACCCTTCATTCTACGATATAGGTGCATAGCACCCTTTGGGTCTTGGGTTGTTGGATTCAGACTGCTAAAGCCCAAAACCCTTCTACACGATGTAGAACACTGCAAATCCTGATCCCCTAAACCCTGTAGAGTCAGGAACTCATAATGAAAACCTTGCTCCCGTAACTCCAAAGCTGATGACCAAATTGTCGGGAAGAACCTAGCTTACGCCCTTAAACCCGAACCCCCTGCATCCCCTCTTCTGCAGCCTTTCGTTCGTAGTCCACCACCACTGCTCCGGAAGCTCCCGGAATGAGGTCCAAACCTGCTTTTGAATAGTTATTTGTAATTACTACAGGGGCATTAATACTTTCCTATACTATACTATTGTGGGGGTGCCCTAATACAATTATAGCATACTGGGCGCCGAACCCCTATTCTAATCATGAAAGCCCCTCTGTTAGTGATACTCTTGGGGTTCCTTAAGATACTTTTCATATGATATGCCACCTAAACGCTAGTCTAAGTGTATAGGCTAGTGATGCTAGTGCTTGGGGCCTTCTTGTATTTGTAGTATGACATACCCCCCAAAAAACTAAGTGCTTAATCTAAGTGTAGGCTTCCAAACAGGAGCTGCTAGTCATGATGGCAATCGTCGTCGTCGGAGTCGTAGTCGTAGCAGTCGTGGCAGTAGTGATACATTGCGCGCTAATTAGCAGTGTTGGAGGATTGGGGATTGTGCATCGCCCCCTGCAGTTATTATACCATCGATATGAAGGGACGGTAAGGGAACACTGCACATTACACATCTCTCAACCCCCTCCACCGTGAGGCGCCGACGAAGTCGAACGAATTCCCCACCCAGGATGAAGTCGAACCTGCAGCATTCAGGGATCAATTGCAAGCCCAACATGGGGGCCTTTGAAAAAAAAGGGATTTGGGGATTTTATTGTAGTAGAGGTATAACAAGGATCAGGATCCTAGGGATGATGTCGGCACTGAGTATTGGCTCAAGTCTCTATGAATAGCCTCGGGTTTCCGAGCGGGTTTCCCAGCAATGTATGATACTGATGCGACGACTGTGACGGACGCGTGCTTCCACAACCACTGAGGCTGCTCTGTCGGCTTACATGTCCGACTGGAACAAGTCGGACTTGTACAGGGCCTGTTGGGGAGCGTCCGGACTTCGTGGTGCTCGCCTGAGTTTTTATTGGTTTCCGTGTTTCAGGTTCAAGGGTGGAGCGCGTCGTTGCATGGTTCGAGTTGGGCCGCAGTGTTTCTGGCAGTCGCAACATAAGCTGAAGCAAAAAAACAACGGCGATAACCAGAACAACATGACTGAGACAAGTGCCGAGTCTTGGAGCACTGCAACGAATGACAGAAACCAAGACAAACCAACAACCGACCCACCTGCCCTCCTTCAAGCCCACCCCGCCACCTGCCCCCACCAACAACCACCGGCAACACCATCGCCGCAAGCCCGACCGCGACCACCATCTTGTGTACGTGTATATGTTATCTCTCTCCCTGTCTCTCTGCATGGGTATATATCTAGACAAAGTACGTGTGTGTATATACATATATACAATTAGGTATATATATATATATACACATAGATTCACACATATATATATATACACATATGTATGTATACATACATACATACATACATAGATACATACATACATACATAGATACATACATACCTAGATACATAGATAGGTACATACATACATACATATTTGTATGTACACATGCATACGCACACATATGTAAGTATAAAATCTCTCAAAGTGTATGTATATACACTATAATGTAAATATAAATATAAATATCTATATATATATATATACACATACACAACGACATACCTAGAATAGCCTGGCTGGATCAGTAACATGTTTTTGACTCAAACACTACACTTGGCACCGCGTACCCAAGCTGCCTAACTTCAACTTTCATGTACGCGACGTCTTGATGAATGCTCCATGGCATTTAATCTGGCTTCAGTAGGAATCACTGTCCGCCACCTGCGCTCTGCAGCGAAACTGTTGCCGTCCCAGCGTTCGACGGTAACCTGGGCTCTCGGTTTGCTTGAAGGACCACGGACAACTAGAGACTCCTGTGCTCGCCTTTAACAAGGCCTCAAAGCTCGGATCTGAATTACCACCCTCATTGAGGGAAAGGGGTCCATGAATCTTCGCGTCCGGTGACAAAACCCAGGACATGGCGAAAGTACTGTCTAAAACCTGGACACTCGCGCAAAAACCTTTGAGATGATCCAAAAACAACTACTCATGCAAACGGTCCGATCCTTGCCCACATGACCAGTGAATTGTTTCAGGAGACAATTTGTTCTTGATTCCCTGCAGGGTCTATATTGTATTGACTTCAACCCGCCAATACCACTACCACTACCACTACTACTACTACTACTACTACTACTACTACTACTACTACTACTACTACTACTACTACTACTACTACTACTACTAAACTACTACTACTACTACTACTACTACTGCTACTACTACTACTGCCACTACTACTACTACTACTACTACTACTACTACTACTAAACTACTACTACTACTACTACTACTACTACTACTACTACTACTACTACTACTACTACTACTACTACTACTACTACTACTACTACTACTACTACTACTACTACTACTACTACTACTACTACTACTACTACCACGACTACAACAACAACTACTACTATAACTACTACTACTACTATTATTATTACTACTACTACTACTACTACTACTACTACTACTACTACTACTACTACTACTCCTGCTGCTGCTGCTGCTGCTGCTGCTCCCAACACCACCGCCACTACCTCCTGCTGCTGCTGTCACTCCTACTCGTACTCCTGCTTCTACTCGTAGTTCTACTGCTACCGCTCCTTTCAAGCTACAGCTACAGCTACTGCTGCTGCGACTGCTACTGCCACTAGCACTACACCACCGACTACTACAACCCACTGCCGCTGCCAGTGCCACTACCACTGCGTCTACCACAAACTACTGCACCGCAAACCCCCTAAGCCCCACATTTGCCTAAAAGCTACTCCCCAAGGCCCTAAAGCCCCTAACCCTCCAAACCCTAAACTCCTAAACCCCAGCCGGCGCTGGGATCCCCGGCATTTTGGCTGCTGTTCATCGGCCCAGAGCCTTGCATCAGCACCACGCACTGCACATCGACGGCTTTCGGCCTGGGTCTGGGTTTACCCTAAGGGTCCAAAGGACCCAATAATTAGGTACTCGGCTTTAGGATAGTAGTTATGTAGGTTAGGATTTTGGAGAGCAGAGGATAATGAGGTACTTGGACCCTTCGGGTTTACAGGGTGTAAGGCTTGGGGTAGGGACTAGGCTTGGGTATGGGTTTAGGGTTCAGGGTGCAGAGCTCAAGGCAGGGATTTCGGAGTTTAGTGTGTCGGCTTGGGTCTGGGTTTAGGGCTTAAGGTAAAGGGAAAGGGGTTTAGGACTCATGGGGGTTTAGGGGTGTCGGAATTTAGGGTGTATTCTGGGGCAGGGGCTTTTTGTTTCAAGGCAATCCCTAAGCCCTCTAACCCGCTCTAGCTAAATTGTAATTAAGCCCTGAGTCCAAGTACTCAATATTACAAGACTTTTGGGCCTTTAGGTACCAAAAACCATAAACAAGGATTACTTGGACCCTTAGGGTATACCTTGACTCATATTAGGGATCCTACTGTAATTCAAACTCATGTTCATGTTGCTGGCATCCTCGGCTACTGTGCAATAGGCACGGGGCTGCAGAATAGCGTGCGGCCTTCTGATCTAGGGCCTGGAGTCTAGGATTTATGGCTGAGGCTTTCGGCTCAACCCTCAACCCTGAACCTTAAATTTCAATCCCTGAACTCTTAACCCTAAATCCGGCTGGTTTAACATGCTCTTAATTTACGGAGTTTTAGGGTTTACGCTGAGCCTTGCGATCAGGGAGACCATGTAATCTGTTGGGCATCGGTCGCTTTACTTCAACCGATCACTCGCGACGATTCGCACCTGAAGCGTAGAGCCCTGGACTGCAAGTTTCGGGTTTAGGGTTTGGGGTTTAGGGCTTATAGGGTTTAGTCGCTTAAGGTTGGGGGCTTTGGGGTGTACGCTCTCGCACCTCGGACTCGCCAGACAAGGTCTCGGTGTTCGGGTACTCTACTGCCTAAGGTGCTCTATTGGGTTTAGGGTTTAGGGAAGCTTCGGGTTTACGGTCAAGTGAAGGGTTCGAAGCTATGAACCTCAGCACTGCCAACCCATAGATCCCACGACTGGTGAGCTTTAGCCGATCACGCCAACAGAAGCCTTGTGTCCCACGGCTACACGCCCCAAACACACACACACACACAGACACACAGACACACACACACACACACAGACACACACACACACACACAAACACAGACACACACACACACACACACACACACCAACCTACACCACAGGCACTCCAAGAAGCGTAACAGGGACCCGCAAGAAGTGGTTTGATGATAGGGGCCACGGTTGGACCGAGTGAAAAAGAGTTGCACAGCAGCACACGGTTGGTGCTCGCAGAAAGCCCAGAGAGTGGGCGGAACCACAGGTGGCTGGCTAAGCCAGGCAGACAAAGCAAACAAGGAGTTAGCTTTCAACAAAGCCAACCTCCAACAGCCATATGGGTAGTTCTCTAAATTCGGGCGCCTTTTAGGCTCCGTTTATAAGTATAAGGGTGCCGAACTGTTTTGAGGACCTGAAAAGGGACCATGCATAATTCAGGGAACTACCCAGATCCCCAAGCCCTGAACCCCCAACTAAACGGATTCATACCCAGGGCTCGACTCACTGAATCGCATGCCCGGGCTCAGTCGGGATGCACGGTGCGCTTCGGCACTGGCACCGGTAGGCATCGCCAAGTGAAAAGAGCCAAAGGGATGGATGTGAAGACAAAGGCGTAGAAGCCCACGAAAAGGTCAAGGAAGATCTCAGTTGTAATGCTGAAGGTAGATGGCTTAGGCTTTACGGTTCAGGACCCCGAAACCCCAAGGCCCGAAAGAGAACGACCCCCGGATGCACAAGCGAGACAATTTATATAACTTGGAAACCCAAAAGGCAACCACTTCAAGCCACGGGTCTTGTAAAAAGTCAAGGTTTAGGGCTTCGGGTTTCGGGCTCTGTCATCAGCGGTCTATAGCCGAGTCCCGCGGGGCTTTTGGGGCCGAAGGCTTTAAGGTGATGGAGACAGTAGGGCTGTCTGTGGAATCTGCGGATTTAAGTTCGAGAGTCTAGATTTTGGGGCTTGGTGGCTTGGGGTGGCTTTAGGGTTTTTGGGCCTAGGGTTTACAGTGCATTTGGTCTGCCAGCCGAAAAGCAAACGCCAGGAAAAGGACCGCTCCGACAAATAGGATCAAAGAGGACAGGAACCAGTCGAGCAGTCGGCAAGCTGGCTGAGCCTGCCACTGCCAGGTTTTTTGAAGGTTGCCCTACAGTAGAAGACCTCTAGTGCAATGATGAACAAGTAAGAAGGCCACCTTAATAAGATGTATACACCAAGGGATAATAAGTCCCAAAGACTTATATAATTCGTACTTCTCTTGGGCTCTGCATTACCTTACCAGTCTCAAGAACGCATATCTTAGAAGAACACCGCCTGCAGCATCCACGTGACCCGCAGCAGGACACGGAAGAGAAAAGGAACCACCGCCAGCCTGGGCGATCAAGAACGTCATTAACTTGATGGCATGACATCTCTTAGGGTTTGGGGTTTATGTAGCGTTTAGGGTTAATTGTGTGGGGGTTGAGGGGTTTAGGGGTTTGGGGGTTTAGGGTTTCGGGTTATGCAGGTTCAGGGATTGGTTGATGTCGGGATGGATGCCACTAATGCAGGAACATCATTCAGAAACCCTGGCCCTTTTGCCCCAACATGTTAGGATCCATATATAATAAAGAGCCCTAATAAAGCCCCAGGGCTTGTATAATCAGGTTCCTGTACTACTGTCTGGTTCTTAGTGGTGAATGGGGGAATGGATATTGGGGAAGATATTGGGGACTACTATTGAGGATTATAGAGGGACTACTGCAGGGATCCCTTCCCGCATTCCCTAAACCCCTAAACCCTATAGATCCCCTTAAATCCCTTGAAGAGACCCTAAGCCCCCAAAGGGATCCCTTCCCCCATTCCCTACTAGACAGACTTGGGTTTGAGATTGAGAACTAGTGAAAAAGGCTCACAAGGCGAAACTAACTTAACTTAGGGGCCTTAAGAATAGGGGTTGCTTTAAGGGGCTCCTTTGAAGAGTGTCTAGGGAGATTACAGTAGGGTTCTATATTAGGGGCAATTAGAATAGGATTTTGGGGTATGGCAGGGGTATATTATATTCCAATTTAACAAGGAACCACCCCCCCCCCCTCCCCCAAAAAAATAATTAAATAAATACACCAAAATAAATAGTATAGGTAATTATCAGGGCTCCTACAGTAGTCTTCCACGACGCCTACCCTTTGTCCTGAAAGCGCCGCGCACTTCGCCAGAAACCCTCCGTGCAAAACTCAAGGCCACAGCCTCTGTAACCCAGGCATTACAGGGACCCTGAGAGGGGGGGGTAGGCGGCCTGAATGCCCATAATATGGACCTCGCAAGGCCTATTTAAGGAAGTATAATCCCGTAAGGGTCCCTATGAATGAAGCCTTTCTGAACCGAACCGGCAACCTTTTGAATCCCACACCCTTGTGACACTTAACCCTGAACGCCGAACCTTTGAACACCCAGACCTCAAGATTTGAACTCCGCTTATTCTTAAGAGAGTGCTATTGGGGTTTATTATGTTACACTAATGCACTTATACGGGGACGATGAAGGGACACGACTAGCCAGTAACCATTCAAACGTCCATGTCATATCCTCTCCACTGCGCGCACCCGGTTTGGCCCTATCGGTTTCTTCATTGCAGACCCGGGTTGTTCTGTTATGCCGTTTGCATTCCCTGAAAGAAACAGGTCAACCTTTCTCTTGCCCGGTGTGGGCTGTGTGTGTATGGCGGCGCCTATGACTTCCGGGTTTCGAGAAATTGTCAGATTTCGAGCACACCTAGATGCAAAGACACGAACTCACGACGTGCAACAGCCGAACTTCTTTGGGGAAATGCTCCCAAATGCGCGTAGATCCCAAAACCTCAAACATGGTCGGGGAGCCAGTAGATGATGCCGCGGATGAGGTGATACACCCCAAATCCGGGACCACTATCGCCTTCCTGCACAAAAAATATGTTGTGGCTGTCAGAACACATTGGCCTAGTTGCTGAGCTCCATGGCACAGAGAGAAGATCTTGCAAAGATGGTCGGTAAAACTTAGTTATCTGCCAAAGCCAAAGGTCACCAATTCAGCTGCCCTGGGCAAAGCCCTGCGGGTTCTACACGAGCTTGACGGCCATTCCGTTAAGGGATCTCCGCTTGAACATATTTTTCTTAATCTCCATGGGCGAAGAGCTCGAAACTAGCCAAAGCAAACCCCGAAAGCCTGTGTACAGGATTAGCTTTAACTTGTTAAGTCTTCTTCCATCCGCGTCCTGCAAGCCAGAGTACAAGCGTTCGGCTGCTTGATCCAGTAGAATCCAAAAAATGATCGGAGTCGCCTCCCAGGGCTCACAAACAAACATACATATATATATATATGTATATACACGAACAGACGTGTGTCATGTGTGTATACATACATGACATACATATCTGCATATACACATAGACATACGTACATACACACACACACACATGCATACAAACAGGCAGGCAGGCGGGCAGGCATGAAAGGCAGACAGACACACAGCCAGCCAGCCGGACACACAGACAGACACACCTACACGCACACACAAACACACACACATAGACACACACGCACACACATCTATATATATATATGTATATAGGTCGATTATATATATATATATATATAGATTGTATATATGTATATATGTGCATACTTGCCTATATACCAACATACGCACATACCCATATACGTGCTCGCATGCATGCCACTACTAACGCACATTCCTGTAAACATAACCGCTGATTACAGACAGACGGACAGGCATGCCTAAGTATATGCATACATATGGGCGGTTGTCAAAATCATGGTCCCTTTTTGGGTACCCTAAATATTAGGAGTAAGGACCCAAACAGGGACCCTAATATTGACAACCACCCAAATAATTACGCACATATATACGTGCGTATGCGTTCCTGCACGGCTATGCATGTGGGTACATTTGCCCTATACCTGTGTGTGTGTATATATGTGTGTGTGTGTGTGTCTGTGTGTGCGTGTGTCTGTGTGTGTGTGTGCATCTGTACCTTGGCGGGAGACTGTGCGGAACTTCGACAGGTGCACTTTGCCACTACAGTACAGTGTGTTGGACACAGATTTTCGAGGATTAGAAGTTCTGTGTTCGCAGTTTGCAGCGGCCGTGCAATGACGATCCCACTCTTAGGGGCTTACATCACGTAGAGACTGCTTAGCTTCTGAGACTCCCATACCCTGCCCTATGAGGAACCTTGACAGATCAACCCCGGCAAGCGAGGAAGGGACCTCGGACAGCCGCCAATAGGAGATCATGTGATACGCCAGTTGGTGCGACAGCAAATCACACACCTGTGCAATTGGGAGATGCTGGGTTAATTTTACGGTTTAGGGTTTTGGGATTTAGGGTTTAGTGCTGTGATACTTTAACATACAAATGCAAATTGCTTCTGCCAAGCATATCGCACCCGATAAGTACATGGACACTTCCCGCTGCGTGAAGCAAGCAGCATCTAAGGCCATCACGCCAAAAGCTTGCATCCCGAGACTGATGGTTATCCCCGAGTAAGGAAGAGAACTTGCCTTCCATGATCAGTGAATGGTTTCGCAGAGCGATGGAGACTTGTGCCATCACAGCTCGGGGATGCAGAGAAACAAAGCAAGAAAGAAACAAGCAAGCAGTGGGGAACACCAAAAACATAGCTACGTGCCTCCTCCCCCCTCATACAGAAAAACTCATCATAACACTTGGAGCCTGCAGAATGTATCACTTTAGACAGCCGAACCAGCATAGCTTGACGGCTGTAACAATCAACAGCCAACATTGAAAACAAGAACGATTACAGCACTGGGCCAGCAAGAGGTTGGACGTCTTCTTGACCTTCGCAAAACAGTGCGATCAATCACTATGCCCAGCACGATCACGATCAGCACCATTATCCACCTCACAACCCCATCATCATGATCACTGTCACGACTCATCATTCCAAATCATCTTTGTCTCCATCGCCATCATCACAATCATCATCATCATCATCATCATCGTCATCATCGTCAGCATGGCAAACCTCATCGCCCCAATCGCCACATGCACCCATCATCACCACCACCACAAGCCTCACAACATCACCATCACCCAGGAGCCCAGAACCTACCAGCTCCACTCTCAACATCCCTCAACCCTCCGACAGCATCGTCGCCATCAGCGCTTACAACCGTCAGGCTGCCTCGTTCTGGACGCGGCGCTCAAAAGCCTCGACGCTGCCAAACCAGATTCTGATGCATTGCCTGGGCTCTTGCTAAGGGTTTTAGCTTAAGTTAACATAAGAAGGAAACCATAATGTTTACTAAAGGTGCCTAGTATGGTAGCTTAAATCAAATTCCTTAACAAGAACCCCTAAGCCTCTTATTCATAGATCCCTGTTCTGGTAAGTTGAATTGCATTCCTTAACAAGAACTCCTAAACCTCGTTTATTCACCCTTTATAGATCCCTAATCTAAGAACTCGAATTGAATTTCTTACCCTGAAGCTCTAAGGACTCATAAGTTAAGGCAGCTGGGCCTGAAGACCATATTATGTAAGGCTTTTGGGCCATTTTGAGCCTTCGGGTTAACAAGAGCCCAGTTGCTGGATGACCTCGCGGTCGCAGATCATCGGCTCGCCACTCTCAGACGTGTGGTCCGTTGCGCAGCAGTAACCTGGGCTGTAGGTTTGGGGTTTAGGGTTTAGGGTTCAGGGTTTAGGGTTTAGGGTTTGGGGTTTAGGGTTTAGGGTTTGGGGTTTAGGTTGAGGGTTCAGGGTTCACGGTTTAGGGTAAAAGGTTTCAGGGTTTTTTTTGACACTCACTCTCGGACAAAGCCTGGCAAGGATTGCAGGAGTAGGGTTTAGGGTTCAGGGCTTTCTCCCTCCTGCGTAGCAAGGACGAGGCCCGCATTGCAAGGGGGGGTTTAGGGTTCAGGGTTTGTGCTTCTAGGTTTGGGGCCCCTATCGTTCAGAGTTTCAGTTTCGGGTCCCAAAATGGGTATCTCTGCGGGACCCTGTAGACAATAAGGAGAATTATACTTTTCCCCAGAGTGCCACCTGGCCACTCTCAGCTGTTGCAATGCGGAATTCACCTATCTGATGGCACATCGTCGTCACAGACCGGCAATATGCACGGGCCAGGTTCGCGATGAGGAAGAATACCACAGCACCAGGCAGCAGCGCAATAAGCATGATGAAATAAATCGGTATGCCAGGAAACACATGGAAAAGACTGTAGTAGCACAAAGCCCCAAGAACACCGGAGAAGCCAAATGCCAAGATCGCGAATCCCAGAATCGTCGGTCGCATAACGACGTGAGGCTTGCACCCAGCGGGCCGGCTACGAATGAACGCCTGGGCTCATGCTGAGCACACAGCCCTTCCAAAACCCCTTAACTACGGAACATATCTGCAATTATTGTGGCATCCTGAGCATGATTTAAAGTGTAGTTGTTTTTTACTTCCGGGGTTTTGGAGGGTCTGGGCAATTCTTGCTTGTCCAGTATCCTAGGGGACCTCATGTTCACCTTGGGCTTGTTGTGGATCATAGTACCCAGTTTGTTAAAGCACGCGTGAGATATGCTGCCTCCCCACCAGAAGGCACCAAACGAGCTTCGCCAAAAGGTTGAAGGTTCCCTCTACTAGAATCACTAGAATCTAGAAGGATGCTAAACTACAGAACTGAAGTGCTAGACAGTATAGCAAAAAAGAGACTCCCAGAAAAACTCATATCAAGATCCTTCATAACCTGTTAGGTTTACAAACACTTAATCGCAGTACGAAACTCTATGGCACCCTTCCGAAGCCCTTTGAGAGACCCCCCCCGCAGCCCTTCACATGTGGGAGTTTCCGAAAATAGGGGACCCTAATGTAGTACCCTAAATAGTAGGATCCCTAATATATTGACCCCAATATAAGGTACCCCTAATTTTCGGAAACTCCCACATCTTAACGATAACCCAGAGGCGGCCAACTCGAAGACACACCACAAGCGCCGTGCCCACGAAGGATCCCAGAGCACCAGCATACCTTAGGTACGGCCCCCATACAGTAAGAGTCTATAATAAGGCTACTATTAAGGTCCTACGATATCTATATTATGAATATGATTCAACGGTTTAGGGTTTAGGGTTTAGCGAAACACACAAACAAAGCCTAAACAAACAGCCCGAAGAATCCAAGTAGGAGGAAACCGTAGCAAACCCTTTCTCGTGACCTCTTCAATACTGAAACCATAGAGAAGCGCGTTCCAACAAATTAAACGTCCTCTGAACAATCGCGATGCTCATATTAAGCCACAACTCGGCTATGAGACAAAACATCCTAAACCCTAAACTCCTAAACCGTATAAGCCCTAAACCCTAAACCTAAAATCAATGAGAAAAAGAAGCAAGAAGCACCTCCACCAAATGCCAAGACACTGTCGGAACTCTTCAGGATCGCTCCCAAGCTCAGGAGACCCTCCTAGATCATTTTTTTTGGTATAGGATTACAAAAATGGTACATTTTTATTCCTTATTGGGTTTAAGTACCCATAAAACTGAAAAATGTTACCCAACTACGACAAAGGCTCTGCTTGGAGACCAGGGTCGGATTGGGAGATGCAGACGCGATCGAGAAAGATCAGCTGCTTTGGCTGCCAGAATAGCAGGACCAAGAGATAAGTCAAGGAACCAGTCATCCTGAATCTCGTGCAGAACCGCTCCAGGTTTTTCACTCTTGGAGGCTTAGGGTTTCGGCGCTCACACTCGGACAATTCAGGCGAGGCGTATGGTTCGAGGTATGTTGTGTGCGACTGCACTACTCTGCGATTGATCTGACATTTCGTGACAACAAGATAACTAAAAATGAGACCATTCCAAACAATAATCTGCTCCCCTCAAGGTTCCGCTTCACATTAGACCGTATGAGTTTGCAGGACGTCAAGGGCTACAAGCGGCAGATTGCATCAAGGGGATAGGGAATTGCTAACAGCCCATCAATGCCGTGAAAGATCGGGGTTGACCTGGGACATATGCGATCTGTTTCACAAAAAGTCTTTAGACCACTCCAGGGGGCTTTATTGACAAAATACAAGGCGCTAATATGGGAGCCTTAATTATGAGAATAGGGTTTTGGGGCCCATTTATACTACAATTAGGATAAGGAGCTCCCAACATAGTATTAGAGGGGACCACGATATGGGGCGGGAGTGCCCCTGGGTAATGAAGTGGATCTCTTGCTACATCACGTCGGCAATGCTTCGAAGAGGTTAGATACAAGCAGTGAGCATCTCCCTTCTCGACCCAAAAACCATATCAACAACAGTTAACGGACAGATACCCTACATATATCATCTTAAGCGTGTAGGTATGGCTTTCAGAACCGACCAACATAAGCAACCTAAGCCAACCTTGCATCACGAATGCGTGCTAAATACAGTTAATGAATTGCAAGGTGCTCCTAGTCGTTCAGCACTCACACTCGGACAAGCCTGGCTTTTGAGAGCGGCCTGAAAGCTAATTTGACCATACATCTTCACCTGTAACCTGCACTGCACTGCCTCGATTGTTGAGACTTGTTCGGCTCAGAAGAAGAACGCAGAACCCCGAAACCGTGTTCTGTGGGGGACCACCGCAACGAAGCCGACGACGAGGAATACTACTAGTGCTAGTATAGGTCAGGCAATGAAGGTACAGTAGCACTCTCAAGGTGCATCCGTGTCTCACACACCACCAGCAGGAGCGGCCCTCTGCACCGAAGCCCGGTAGCACATTCTGTCCATAGAGAACACCCGCGATCACAGCTGACGCGGTGCCGAGTATCGTGGCGGCACTGGCTTTGTGAAGGAAGAATATAGTGGCAATCCTGGGTTCGAGCCGATGACCGGTGCTCTTGTTTTGATGTGCAAGACCCAATAGCCAATGTGAAACTCTAAATCCTGCAACCCTAAACAGACAACGAAAATGTGCTTCAGGAGTCAGGGGCTTATGCTTCGCCGAGCCATGCCAGCTGTGAGACCAAAAAGCATGCAGGCGGGTTGTCGTTTGGCTCAGATAATAGAAATCACCCACCGCCTTAGGGCATGTAGGGTTCAGTGTTCAGAGCCTTTTTCAACAAACACTTTTGGGCAGCTGTTCAACACTACACCCCAAATCCTAAGTCCTAAACCATGGGGCTTAACACGAGCCTGGCGCACGACCCGGCATGAATGTTGAAGAGGAAAACCATAGGCTGCCAGTTTAGCTTGTTCTTTTGGGGTTAGTTCAAGGCCTGGATTTCACGCTAAAGCTGCAGCCCTGCAAAACCTCAAGCTTCAAATAGTTTATATACCCAACTTCCCTCAACAAATGAACTTCACAACAGCACTGAGCCTGGGAAGATAGCCTCGGAACGAACCCAACGCCTCGCCTGTGTCCTAGAGCTGAAACCCTACAGCCCTCGACCCTAAACCACATCAAACACAAGGTTGGGGGTTCAGAAGTTTAGGATTTGGGAGTTTCCGAAAATGAGGGACCCTGATTTTAGTACCCTACAGAGTAGGGATCTGATTATATGGGCCCAAGATAAGGGCACCCCTTCACTTCTTCTTTGCGAAAACTCCCATGTTAAGGTTTTTCGTGCAAAGACCAAAAGCCAAGCTGCGCCCCTCACTTCGTCTTCTTTTCGGAAACTCCCATCTTTAGGACAGACCCCAAGCCCCAAGCCAAGCTGCGCCCCGGAGGGGCCTGGCGAGGCCCCGAAGGACGGTCCACACAGGCGCTGCTCGGATGATCTCGGGCCTCGTGGCCTGCATCTGGGCCACCTTCAGAGGGCACTTCCTCTTTTCTTTAAAAGGGGCCTTAAGAATTAGAATAGGTATACTATAATCATAATAAGAAATCCCCTCTCTTAAAGGGGCCTTAAGAATTAGCATAGGGTTTTGGGGCCCGTTATACCATAATTATAAGGGGTCTAAGCTGTGAGAAGATGTGCTGTACTATAGGGGCAAATAGACTTGAGCATGATAACCAGCTATATAGGCATAAGGCATAGACCCATGGAGTTGCAAACACTGTCTTAGGGGCGCATCTAATGCTTCTTCTAAGTAGGCTTCTTCGCAGCCGGGGCACCATTAAAGGAGCTAAATAAATCCTGGTAAAATCCTTCGCTGAACATGTGATAAACTGGGTCCTCAGGTGGCTCAAGCATGCCAAGCTTTTTGTAGCCTTTTCTAGCCTTGCCTAGCTTTTCAATGGAATTCCTTAGCCGGGCCCCGGCCCCAAATCAGGAAAAATCTAGCTTTTTCTAGTTTTTTCTAGCTTTTTCTAGTTTTTTCTAGCTTTATCTAGCTTTTTCTAGCTTTTTCGAGCTTTTTCTAGTGGATTGGAAAACGCACTGCATGCCACATAATTCCAGGAAAAATCCCCCGCTCAACTAACTGCCAACCCTAAAGCACCAAACAGAACCTTCAATCATACATCCGAAATCCGCCACCCTGAACCCTTTATCTTCATCCCAAAACCCTCGCCACTATCTCCAAACCCTGAACTCCTGAACCCAAAGCCACAGGTCCAATCGAGACGTCATTGCAGGAAATTATTAGTCTTTTTTAGCTATTTATAGCTTTTTATAGCTTTTCTTAGCCTTTACAAGCTTTGCCTATGTTTTTGACATGTTCCATGGTTTTCTTGTACTTTTCCTGCAATGCTGAAGCGGCCCGCTTGGAAGAGACATGTGATGTGCTCCTATGACACTGGCGGGGTGTTTCGGCGGTCCACGACAGCACTGTGAATATCTACAATCTTCCTGCCCTGAACCACACACACTTTTGGGAAAGTCCTGCCTGTTCGCTGACCTGCTGAGTCTGCCTTGAATGCTGATTTTTCTTATTAAAAAGATAACGGGACTGCATGCCTCGCAAACATACTCTTACCAAACCGGCCCAGATGCAGTGCTGCCAGAGATTGTGCGAAGGCCTGGCTTATCCCGTCTGACTTTGAAGACGACATATAGCTTCCGGAATGCGTCTGCGACAGCATTGCCTCAGAAACCTCAGATCTCCTCCTTTCAGGTACTCCGTCGTCATCTGGGGTGGATATCCCATCGACGTCGAACTCGCGCATCACCTCGTCTTCGAGATAAGGATCGAAGCCAATAACCTGGGGCCGTCCGACTTCAGCCACCTCCATCTGCATGGCCATGCTGCTTTGCTGGTCGAGAAGGAAAACCGAGCAAAGGCTAGAAGAACCCTAAACCCTAAACCCTAAACCCTTAAACCGACCCGCGGTTTCTGGGGTGGTTCTGGGTTGACGAGAGTGAGCGGCAAACCCTAAATTTCTGAACCCTAAACCCGATTTCTCCCTTTACGGTTGGGGGTTCCTTTTTGTAGTTATGGTAAAATATGCCCCAAACCTTTTTAAATAAATGAATAAATAAACATAAATATAAATATAAATATGTATATATATATATATATATATTTATATTTTTTAAGGTCCCTACATTAGAGGTCTCCCTTTGCGGAATCTGAGGCCTGATCCCTAAACCCCTAAACCGCTCCCCGAGGCTTCCTTTGGGCCGGAAGCAGTGTGTCTTCTTTGGGGTCTTTATCTAGGAGACCCAGTAACCTAAGAATAAAAAGGCCTCTCTTTTTGGTATTGGGTAACTTTATAAGGAACCTAGGACTACAAAAAGGGAATAAGAGTACTACAGGGTATCCTAGTTATAGTATCCTTAAGGGAGGGGGGTCCAAGGGGGGTATATAGCCTAGTGATCCCTAATTCTCCCTAGTACTCCCTAAGGTTCCCTTACAGTCCCCTAAGGATTCCTTATACCCTCCCCCCCTGAACCACCCTCCCTTAAGGATCCTATAAGGTCTGGGGCGTACGGGACTTCCCAGAGACTCCAATATTCCTTAGTTACGGAATATGACTGAAATTATAGTGGGATCCAGCATATGATTCAAAAATGTATTCCTGAATTAAGGGACGAATTCCGGGATATTGGAGTCTCTGGGTTCTTGATCGGGGTGGCTACAAACCTATATAGGCCTCTAAGCCTTACATCCTGCACCCCGAACTCCAAAGCTTGGAATTCTCCGGGGCCTACCTCATTGGAGCCACGGTATCGGGTTTCGGTGCGCACACTCGGGCAATCCAAGCGAGGCATCGGGTTTACGCTCTCGCAACTCGGACACAGCCAGACCAGGTTCTCGGTGCGCGTTGACTTCGGGTTTAGGGTTGACAGGGTGTCATTGTCCTTATCTGCGGAAGCATAGAATGACCCTGACTGGGAGTAATCATCCCCCACTGCTGCCCGCTGCAATGTCTGGTACCACTCACTGATAATCCAGGTTGGGCTATCTCGGGTCCTTCAATTTGAAAAACTCGCGAGCGCAAATCGGAAGAACCCATCTGCAAACCGGAGAACACTCATCGCAAGACTGGAGTGACAGAAATGGCAACATAATCGCACAATTCAGAACAACAACCCAATAAAAGAAGGCAGAATCCATTGGCACATCCGGCAGCACCAGACATATCACAAACTGCAAATCGAGGGGGCGCAACGACAGTGGCACAACAAGGTAGCACCAAACATTACATATCCAAAAATTCAAAACTGAAGCACAAGAAACAGCATAACTAGATGCGCAGACGCACGGAAGGTCCACAATTCAGGCTCTGCAGTGGCAGTTTTCTGTCAATCCATGAAACCCGTGGCAGGCCAGTTGTGTTTTCCCGAGCACAGGGAATAGGACGAGGAAGAGCTCAATAAACAAAGCCTGCCTGCAACTGACAGAATAGAAACACAGAAACCGGAATGCACTGTGAAGTATAGGGGCCTTACAGCATGACAAGTCACGGCTACTTTTCCTGATGAAGCGATGTTGGGCACTTTGGGCACCAACTTATAGCTGTGTGGGAGCACGATCGCCATTCTGGAACAGGCGAGTCCCAGCCCGGAAAGGGCACGGCACTGTGGCGGCAGAGGACCATGGACCATGGTGTGAAGACCGCGCAGACCCAAAACACACACGTGGCATGCGGCACTGTTGCACGAGCACACTTTCCAAATTTCACCAAGCTCCAGACCCTTTGGAAGGACAAAGAACCCAATAGCGTGTTACATCGCGCTACAAGACTGTTTACGGAAGTGACGTTGGCAGCAAGACTGATGTGGTTCCGAAGCAGTCTACAAAACTGGAAGAGCACCAAGAGAAGTAGCAGAAACACAAAGCTTCAGGCAGCTTGAGGTGGGGCAGGCCGGATCCAGGCAGAATTTGGGGTGCAAGCTTCACGATTTTGGCATGAGGCGTTCAGACTCAGACCCTAAACCCTAAACTCTAAACGTACTTGGTGTCTGGGGTCTAGGATTCACGGTGTAAGCCTGTCTGGTCCATGATAAGGTCATGCAGCGCACTGGTGCCCTAAACCCCATGCCAGGCCTTAAAACCTACCTGTCGTCTCCATTGTAGTTCCTTTTAGAAAAGGAACTGCAATGGAGACTATAGGTAAACCCGAAACTTGAAGCCCAACAACCCCTTGACTCTAAACCCTAGTAAGTGTCACAATTTCAGCTGTGGCAGGTCATGTCTCGGACAAGTGAAAGGTATCTGCACAACACACAGCACACCGTTGGTGCTCGGAACACCCACCCAATGGGGGTTGAAAGTAGAAACACCTGGCCAGCTAAGCCATGCGAACGAAGGGCTACCGTGATCGGACTATGTTGACTTCGGGCGTTGCTCGAACCTGTCCTGCGCTTACGAAAAGCCAAAGAGCCCTTTATCCCCAAGACCTCCTCACTCAAGCGGATCGATCCGTCACTCAGTACTCTTGGCGCGCTTCGGCACTGGCACCGGCAGGTATCGCCAAGTGAATAAAGCCAAAGAGATGGATGTAAAGACAAATGCGTAGAAGCCACCGAAGATGTCGAGAGATACCTTAGCTGTGCTTCAACAGCACCCAGACTCTTAGCCTTTATAAACAATCATATATACATATTATGAGTATGTATGTATATATATATGTGTGTGTCTACATATATACATGCATACATACATACATACATACATACATACATACATACATACATACATACATACATACATACATCTTGAAGATATATACATTCCACTATATATGTAATATGCTTTTTGGGTTATAACTTTTATGTTTCCATACATTTGTGTATATATAAGCAACTTCCAGTACCATTGCGGTGTTGCAGAATGTAAAGGCTGATGCGGGGCTTGCTACGCTTCCGGAGCCTTAGGGCTTGCCGCTCTAGGGCTTTTAAGCTGGATCACGTTTGGACCTTGAAGTTCTGATTCAGTTTAGGACTCATGGCTTGATACCCAAGGCACAAACGCGATTACGAGGACACATGCCACAAGCAGGATGAGGGAAGTCTTCATCCAGTCGAGCAGTCGGCAAGGGTGCTGAGCCTGCCGCTGACATGCTCAAAAAAGATTTCCAGGCACTACTCCAACTTAACTAAGGCAGCTACGGGTTCGGGGACTGGAAGCCTGAAACTCCACAACATATGGACTTTCTGTCGACCTCCGGTACATTACAGGAACCCAGATCTTTGAAGCAGCACGCCTGCAGCATCCATGCTACACGGAGCAGAACGCGCATCAGAAAAGGGATCACTGCCAACCTGGGCATGAGCGTCCGTAACCCCTATAATTAAAACATATCCCGTTAAGGACATATATATATATATACACATATATAAATATATGTATACATGTGTGTGTAAGAAAATAAATATATACATGTATATATATATATATAGATATGTTTATAGACATAAGTTCAGGGCGCTATAGTAAGGGTAGCTTCGAAACAGTAGGGTATGAGGGGTCTCACCAGCTGGATGGTGTGATATCCGGCTCCTGTTAGGAATCGATGCCGTGAGGGTCTGAAGTTGTGGGATCCGGATCGCAGCGCAAAACTAGCCATTGTTAACGGATTAATCTCGGGTTCAACTACCTACAGTCTCCATTGGTAGCTCCTTTTTGGGGTTACCTTATAGGATCCTACTTACATATTTGGTTAAACCAAAAAAAAAGAAACTACAATGGAGACTATAGGCATGCTTTACAGGAGGTGCCCTCAAGACTTCGCATAAGGTCCCCAAACCCCCTGCGGATGATCACAACATTGCCCTGCTTTACGGAAGGACTTAACCGTGGAAGCCCTATCGCACACCATAAGCCTGAACCCTTTCCGACCCCTAAACCTGGTTAAATCCCACACAGCTTTCAACACTCAACCAACGCCCAATCGGATCGTTGAACAGCCTACCCTGAGCCCTAAAGATGTGACAGGCGCCTTATGGGAGTTTCCGAAAATAGGGGACCCTAATATAGTACCCTAAATAGTAGGATCCTTATAAGGACCCTAAAATATGGTACCCCTTATTCTCGGAAACTCCCTTATCGTCTCAACTTTCACAAACAGGTGCCTCTACAAGTCCATACAGTAGGGGACAGGTTCCCTTTCGGGGTTCCTGTAAGGGGTTCTCTTAGGGGGATGTAAGGGTTTGGGCTTAGGGATATTCAGATATTCGGGGTCCATCCAGACATGACCCGGTCTGGGAGTGTGGGCGGACCTGTATCAACTATCCAAGAGCGCCTAACATAGTGGATTCGGAATCCAAGCCCTGTATCAACTGTCGTGGAGCCAGTAGATGATTCCGCGGATGAGGTGGTACACACCGAAGAAGGACTCAGTGTCGTCCTCACAGTGCAAACAGACGCTTGCTTTGCATTTCGCTGGCCTGGCGGCTGTCTTTCAGTGACACACAATGCACCAAACAAGCGTGAACCTTTCAATAATAGTAGGATTGTACCTCGTTGATTATGACAATACATATATACACATACCATAGATATGTAACACAACACGACTGAAACATTATTAAAGCCCCTATTGGTGAGGATCGAAGCCGACGTCTCTCTGAATCAGCTCTTGAAACTTTCTTGTGCGGGTTCAGTCTGCTGCACCCTGCTTCGAACGATAAGAGCTCAGTTGCCGATATGGCGTGCTGCTGCACATAAACAACCGTACATAAACCGGTCAACAATACAACATCATCGAAATGATTGTTGCATTCCATAGCCCAATCTCTCAGTTCGCTTTTGGCATCCGTCCGATTCAGAAGGAAACGAGAATGACAACTGCCACTCCGCAGCATAACAGGACGACTGCGACGCCCGTTGAGTGACGGGCCGCTAAACACTTACACCCTAAAGGCCCTAAAGCCCTGTACACTAATAAAATTCCTAAATCCGGAATCGGTTGACCGGGGTTCGCGAACCATCAACATCAGACAGCTGATTGTACGGTGACTGAATGAGGATGTTGATGTACAGCAAGTCCTTCACGTGAAGCCGGACGACTCACCACCAGGTGCACAAACGAATCTGAATTCGAAAATGCTCCCGGAACAATGCAATTTCCGGAACGGACACTCCTGCGCATGCACGCCATTTGCCAAGCCGATGTGGAACAGTCAAACAAGCAAAGTGAACGTTTATGGCTTTATTGATCCCTTAACCTGACACGATGTGACTGGGCTCGCAGCCTGCAACAAAAGAGAAACCCTAAACCCCTGTACAGGTGTCTCGCTCATGTCTGCAACTGCTTCCGTCCGCGGCCTGCAATCCATCGTGTAAGCGTTCGGCTGCTTGATCAAGTAGGAGCAAGAAAAACATCGGAGTGGCCTCAAAGTTTCAGTTGCGAAGCCGAGAGCTTCTAGATCCTAAGGCTCGTCCCATACACACATACAGGCACAATACAAGCGCAACTAAGCACACAAATGCACCAGGGCCGGCACATCAGCTAAACTCAGCGCGGCACTTGTCCATACATGTGTGGGTATATGAGTATGTGTGTACATTCGAGATACATGCTGCCATGCTATGTCACTATGTGCCACAAGTACATAAGCTCACTCGCACTATACGTATGAATATGTCTACATACACCCAGAAACATGCAAACTAGAACATAGGTGGATACACGTAGATGCAAACTGTCAAGCTTGCACCAGAAGCTTTGACGTGGAGACGCTAAGACAGCAAGACAGGGAGAGAAAGAGAGAGATAGAGAGAACACGGCAGCACAGAGTCAACAAGGCTGCAGCGTGGATTGGCACACAGCCTTGGTCTGCTTGTGCTGCTGAGCACTCCTTCTCTCGAGATCTTGTGGTGTAGTTATCTTTCTTCTCAAACGGCCCATGAATATTCCTCCTTCAGATTGTCAAGGGCTGATCTAACCATATAGTATTATACCCCGGTAACCCATTATTTCGGCTAAGCGATTGCTGACACTGAGAAAGATTCACACTGCGCATGACTTCTGGCCTTGAGCACATGCCGTTTAAGGGTTTTTATTGCACGACCCTTTTCCGTCTCGCATGACCCAGAAAGTGAAATCTCAGTGGGCGTTTGGTTTGGCTTCTTGTCAGCTTCACCGGAAGGATGGTGGAGGTGGTAGTGGTTGAGGCAACCAGGAAAACCTGTTGCCGCCCACACTCTTCCCCCCCCGCATCTCAGGGCAGCTCTGTAAACGCCATGGCTGCCCTCCGCGAAGGGTTCAAGAGGAGGTAACAATGCAGCATAATGCAGCCAAGGCGCGTTAAACAGGAGGGGAGGGAGAAGAGGTAGCCGAGTAAGCAATTATAGGCAGTAGGCAGGCGGAGGAGGGAGGGGAAGCGAGGTGGGGGAAGGAAGGGGGGGAAGAGGAAGGATGTCATGCTTTGCTGAAGTCGGTGTTTTTTTGTTTTATGCGGTCGCGTTTTCGCTCCGAACAAATTAACACAGAAAGAAATTGAAGGCGCTGGGTATCGAATTCAGGGACGAGGCATTGACACTTGCAGGAATGAAACCCCGGACTTTCCCAAAGAGAGGACAAACCTCCAGGGACCCCGATACCTAAAACAACGGGTCACTGGGGTGTATAATGAACTATTTCTAGCAGCTAGCATCCTACCTGGGAATCCTTACCTATAGTCTCCATTGTAGTTCCTTTTGTGGGTTACCTTATAGGATCCTTAATATATAATTGGTTAAACAAAAAAAAGGAACTACAATGGAGACTATAGGCACCATACCCTATACCCTAAACCCTAAAAATCCCTTATAGGCCCTTTAACGGGACTCTAAACCCTTATAGGTAAACCCTATAGGATCCTTAACCCCGGAATTCGAGGACAGTGCCTCGGCCAGCCTCCAGTAGGAGATCATGCGATGTAAGAGCTGGTGCGAGAGCAAATCACACACCTGCGTGGACCCTAAGAAAGTACCCTAAATACTGGGATCCTTACTATAATCCCAAAATAGGGTACCCCTCGTTTTCGGAAACTCTACACCAGCATCACTCATCAGCAGCACGAGCCCCCAGTACCCACCAGATTCCGCCACCCTCAATCTTGCACTAACACATTAATCGTCTAACTGCAGCAGTAAATCTGACAGTTTGCACCCAAAGCCGCAGCTGCCTGCCTCATTCTGGACGCGCTGCTCAAAAGACTCCACACTTCCAAACCAAATGTTGATGGTTTGCTGGATGACCTCCCGGTCGCAAATCATCGTCTCCCCGGAGTCAGACCGGTGGTTGGTGGAGCAGCAGTAACTCTCAGCTGTTTCAAAGCGAAATTCACCAATCTGGTGGCACATCGTCGTCACAGAACGGCAGAAATCACGGACCAGGTGCGCAACTACGAAGAATATCCCAGCACCAGGCACCAGCGCCAAAATGAGGACGTAATAGATGGAGGTGTCCGAAAACAGTTGCGAGGTGATGTACAAGCAACATGCGAAAAGCACACCTGCGAACCCTGATTATAATACGGCACCTACTATTTAGGGTAATACCCCAAAAAGGAACCATAATTTTGACAACCACCCACCTGCGAACCAAAATGCCAAGATCGTGAATCCGAGGATCGTCGGCCGGATTAGGACTCGAGGCGTCTCACCCGGGGGCCGGCTGTGAAGAAAGGCCTGGCACTTGGGAGTTTCCGAAAATAGGGGACCCTAAGGTTCCTTTAAAGGGTTCCTTAAAGGGATCTATAAGGGTTCTAAAAAGGGTTGAGGATTTGGGAGTTTCCGAAAATAGGGGACCCTAATATGGTACTTGGGGGGTCGGGGGACTTAGTAAGTAGTTAGTAAGTAGACTTATAAGTTCCCTAAAAGGGACCCTAATTGGGGTTATGATACTTATAAGTCCCTAAAATAACCAGTTACTAAGTCCCCCGACCCTCCAAGTGTATACCCTGAATAGTAGGACCCTTATTATAAGGACCCCAAAATAAGGTACCCCTAATTTTCGGAAACTCCCACTTCCATTATAAAAGGAGCATCAA